GAGGAGGAGGAGGAGGAGGAGGAGGAGGAGGACGCCAGATTCTCGACACGATCGCACGATCGGAGACCGCCTGCGCAAACCGTGGGCCGATCCCGGAAACGAGCCGCGACGGCGTCGGGCGGCCAGGGATCGATCGCGGCGGCGGCGGGGGCGGCGCAGAGGCGACCGCCCTGGTCTTCGGCGCCGCCACCGCCACCGGCGGGGCACCAGCGGGCGCGCGCCCGCGCGGGGCGCGATCAGCAAAACCCTCTGCGGCCAGCGAGCGGCGGAAGGGGCAGGACCACACGAGCGGCAAGGGCGAGCGGGGAGGCAACCAGAACTGCAACCGCGCCCAGGATTCGCGGGCTGACACTCTAGCCCCAAAGCAACTCGGGTGTTGGCAGGACGGTGTCGGCATATCAATACGCGCACGCATGAACCGGGAAAAATGCCACGCACACGGACGCAGAAACACACACACACACACACACGCACATTGCCACGCTCTAGACTTCACCCTCTACGTGGCTCGGAATACCCCCTCTATTCGCCGCCATTCGCCACCTCTTGGGGCCGCCCTGAAGCAATCACGGGGTCATATTTGCACTGTCAAACTGCAGAGGCGAGGACAACGAGAGGGACGATGATGAGGCGGAGCAGTATCAGGAGGAGAAAGAGAAGGATGAGCGTGAAGCAGAAGAGAAGGGGGATGCGGTTGATGATGATGATGATGATGATGATGATGCTGATGATGATGATGATGATGGTGGTGGTGATGATGATGGTGATGGTGATGCTGATGATGGTGATGATGATGATGACGAAGATGATGATGACGATGATGACGCTGATGATGACGATGATGACGATGATGATGATGATGATGATGATGCTGATGCTGGTGATGCTGATGATGCTGATGATGATGATGATGGTGGTGATGATGATGATGATGATGATGATGATGATGATGATGATGATGATGATGATGATGATGATGATGATGATGATGATGATGATGATGATGATGATGATGATGATGATGATGATGATGATGATGATGATGATGATGATGATGATGATGATGATGATGATGATGATGATGATGATGATGATGATGATGATGATGATGATGATGATGATGATGATGATGATGATGATGATGATGGTGATGGTGGATGATGTGGTGGTGGTGGTGGTGGGTGGTGGTGGTGGTGGTGGTGGTGGTGGTGGTGGTGGTGGGTGGTGGTGGTGGTGTGATGATGATGATGATGATGATGATGATGATGATGATGATGATGATGATGATGATGATGATGATGATGATGATGATGATGATGATGATGATGATAAAAGTGGTGGTGGTGATGATGCTGAGGATGAGGATGAGGAGGAGGAGGAGGAGGAGGATGAGGATGATGATGATGATGATGAGGATAAGGAGGCGGAGATGGAGGGGGAAGGCGGCGGCGTTGCCCGCGTGCTCGTCTACGCCATGCCATGCCGTGCTTTACAATGCATCGCGTACCCTTTCGGGATCATTGCCCTGCTCGACATCCGACTGTGCGAGTAGAGGGGGGATCTGCGCCATGGTAAGGGATGGGAGGGAGGGGTAGGATGTCAGATATGACGCGAGCGCACCTAGCTTGCCCTCCTCCCCCTCCTCCTCCTCCTCCTCCTTCTCCTCCTCCTCCTCCTCGTCCTCCTCCTCCTCCAACTCCTCCTCCTCTTCCTCCTCCTCCGACTCCTCCGACTCCTCCGACTCCTCCTCCTCCTCGTTTAACACCCTCTTCCTCCTGCTCCCGCTGATCCTCCTGCTCGCCCTGGCGAGGCTCCTCATGATATTATCAATCCATCCATCCCCCCCCTCCCTCCTCCTCGTCTCCATGCACCTCCTCATCTTCCGCTCTTCGCCGCCCCCACCCTCTCCTCCTCAACTCCCCCCCCCCCTTCTCCGACCCGCTCCGACTCCTCCGACTCCTCCAACTGAGATGGGCCAGCTCCTCCTCCAAGTCCTGCAAGTCCTCGTCCTCTTTGCCACTCTCGCCTGGAGATCTGCGCCCCGTAGCCCGTTCGTCCCCGCGGGGAGGGGGGGGCGTCGGGCAGCGGGACGAATGTGAGCAGCCGGATCCAAGCGTCTGAGATCCCCCTAGCTTCAATGGGCCATGTCTCCTGGACCAGAAAACGAGAACGAGCGGCATCACCCCCGCCCACGGCCCCACGAGACGTGGCGTATACCAGGAGATCTGGCGTGGGCTTCTGCGTGTTATGCGCGACGGCGCCCGATGGACCGTAGCGCAACATGGAGGGCCGTAGGTGGGGTGGTGCCGATTGTTTTGTTGGTCGACATCCTGCCTTCACGCGGTGCGTCCCGCGATGCGCGGCGCGCGATCGACTGCGCGCCCTCGCGAGGCCTCCCTGCAGAAGGGCAGCTTTCTCGTCCAGGCCACAATTTGCGATGCACGGTGACCACCGCGCCCCCGAGAGGGACCCAGAGAGTACGCCCTCAGGGCAGCGCTGACAATCCTCCATCTCCCCTGCCATTGTCTCCCCACCATGTGTGAAACATTAAATGATAGGTTGGGAAGCTCACGCTTAGCTGGCATTTGCCCAGCCAGGTAGCTGTCGCCCCCGATCAGACGACCTGAGAGGCCCGCGGAGGCTTGAAGACGCATGCGAGAGGGCTCAGCAAGATGCCCCGCCAGGCGCCCAGAGCGGCTCAAGGCGGCCAAGATCATCAGATAAGCGTGCCTCTTCCGTTCTCCTTGGTTCAGACCCTATACTGAGCGTACGTAGGCCCCACTCCTCCTATCCTTCATCCCTGATGCTCACCATCCTCCCACATTCTCCAACTCCTCCCTTCACGAAGCCTCTACGCCGCCTCCACTCTCCTCCTCCTCCTCCTCCTCCTCCTCCTCCTCCTCATCCTCCTCCTCCTTCTCCTTCTCCTTCTCCTCCTCCTCCTCCTCCCTTTCCCCCCTCCTCATCCAAATACTTCAACTCGTCGGCCGCCTCCTTCATCTCCTTCTCATCCTCACCCTCCACCCCCACCTCCATCCCATCGCATCTCAAACACCCCCAACGCATGTCTCGCCAGGGCCCTTCTACAGGCCCGAGCCAGATGTCGAGGGACCCAGGAAACCCACGATCGAACATTCCAGATGGGCCACGTCGGCGACCCGAGGTGCCTTCAATAGCCAGACACGGCACGGCGAAGAGCTGTGGGGGCGGCGGCAGAGGCGGCAGCCTCCTGGAGCTGCGCCGCCGAGGCCAAAAGAAGATGCTGCTATCGCAATCGCCTGAAGGTTCGCTCAAGCAGCCTTGTTGAAAGGCAGTCCGGCGGTCCCTGCTGAAAGCGAGCATCTTGCTATAAATAAGAGGCCGAACTCTCTAAAACGACGTTTTTTCCAGCCTGGCACTGAAACTCGCACAGGGAAGCGGATCCTGGTGCGTACGGGATCCTGGTGCATACATGTCTCTTTGTTTACCCGGCAAAACAGGGAAAAGTATACACCACAACATCCCGACAGTAGCAGTCGGCCCTTGCGTCCAAGACATCTGATTCAGCCTGGAGTCAAACTTGTGCACGTATACTGGCCATGATAAGCTACAGAGGAGGGGATATGAAGAAGGAGCATAATAACGAGAGCAGTAGGAATGAGCGAGGAACAAAAAAAAAATGTTGTGATGAGAATATTTGCGAACGCGTTCACAGTGCTCGCGACCCATCAAAAAAGAGGCCCGCGGCCTAACGCAGCTGGTATCGTCACTCGTCTGCAGTTCTCTTCGCGTGCTCCTCACCACCCCCCTCCTTCCTACCTCCCTTCTTTGATTGAAAAAGAAGAAGCACCATGATACTGGAGAAAAAAACAATCACAATGTTGTTTAGCGCTATAGGGCTATGGGACTATAGGGCTTTAGGACTATGGGGCTATAGGGCTATAAGGCTATGGGGCTATAGGGCTATAGGGCTATAGGGCTATCGGGCTATATGGCTATAGCGCTACACGGCTATGGGGCTATAGGGTTATAGGGCTACAGTGCTGTAGGGCTACAGGGCGCTACGGTTATACGGCTATAGGGCTACAGGGCTATAAGGCTATTGGGCTATATGGGGTATAGGGCTTTTATGGCTATAGGGCTGTAGGGGTATAGGGCTATAATGCTATAGGGCTATAAGGCTGAAAGGCTATAAGGCTATAAGGCTATAGGGCTGTAGGGCTGCAGGGCTACCGGGCACTTCCGGGCACCCCCGGGCACCTCAGGGCACCCGGGCACCCGGGCACCACCGGGCACCCGGGCACCCGAGCACCTGGGCACCCGGGCACCCGGGCTGGCCACCGAAATCGGCGACCCACCTCACCTAACCATACAATACCGGAGAAAAAACACAATCAGAATTTGTTTAGGGCTATAGGGCTACAGGCCTATCGGGCTGAAGGGCTATAGGGCTATAGGTATATAAGGCTATGGGGCTATAGGGCTATAGGTCTATATAGAGCTATAGGGCTATTGGGCTATAGGGCTATAGGGCTATACGGCTATAGCGCTATAGGACTATAGGGCTCTTGGGCTATAGGACTGTTGGGCTACAGGGCTCTAGGGCTATAGGGCTACAGGGCTATAGGGCTACTGGGCTATATGGGGTATAGGGCTCGTAGGGCTATAGGGCTTTAGGGCTATAGGGCTATAGGCTGCAAGGTTATAGGGCTATAAGGCTATAAGGCTAAAGGGCTAAAGGGCTATAGGGCTATAAGGCTACCAGGCACCTCCGGGCACCCCGGGGCACCTCCGGGCACCCCCGGGCACCCCAGGGCACCCAGGCTGGCCACCGAAATCGGCGACCCACCTCACCTCACCATATGAATATGTTAGGACCCCTACAGAGGCAAGCTCTGATTGGGGAATAAACAAAACTTTTGGCACTCCGCGCGGATTTCTTGGATTCACGCTGGGCCCCCCCAAAAGTTCATGTTTATGACGTTTTTTCTTCTATCCTTCCCACCCCTCTCGCCTTGGCCACCCCCCCTCCGCCGAGGCCAAAAAGTGAAAGCTGCGAGAGCGAACAGCCGGCAGCTGGGCAAAAGGCGCACGGGGTGTCAGGTGCTGCAGGAGATGCCGCCAAAGCAGGTCTGTCCGTCGGGGCACTCGGAGTCCAAGCCGCCGGGACACGAGTGGGCGCACGCACTGGCCCCAGACCAATCGGGGCCGCAAAAGTTTCCGCACTTGATGCCGCCCCAGCACTTTTCCCCCGAGCCCATGTCACACTCGCTGTCCAGGCCTCCTGGGCACTCTGTGCCGCACTTTGAAGAGGCATCGGCGTAGTCTTTGCCGCAGTGATTCATTGTTGTGGGGCACGCTGAAATGCCACCCCAGCACTTCTGGCCCTGGTCGCACTCCCCGTCCAGTCCACCCGGGCAGGATTTGCTGCACTTGGAGCTCGCCTCGTCCCATGTCGCGCCGCACATCTTGCTGGCGTCTGGCGCCGGGCTGGGACTCTGCTGCCACTGGATATATCCTCCCGTCGTGATCCCATGTTCGCTGCTGAAGTAGGTGCTCACCTCGTCGTACTGGGATGCGGTGACGATGCTGGGCGCAAATGCACCTGATGATCCCTGCCACAACTCCCAGGTGCAGGCCGAGCACGACGCGGTGGTATCGAAATCAGGCGTGTCCTCCTCACCTGTCGTGTACAGCTGCGGCGAGAGCACAGCCATGTTCGGGTCGGCAACCCAACACTTGACGAGCGTGGCAGCGTCAGCACCACCAGAAACCTCAACGGGGCCGCTATGGGATGTGGTGACCCCGACCTGGAGACCTTTGACGGAACGATACCCAGCGAAGAACTGCTCACCAACCGCGGGGGAGCCACAAAAGCCCACCCCCCGGCACACGAAACGGAGCGAGGGCCCCCCCCCTTGGCACTCGAATATTTCTCCTTCGCGCGCGCTGGAAAAAGAGGCCCCCTCCCTACTCCACTCGAGTCCCTCTCCTTCCGCCAGGCTGGAGGGGGGGGGGGGCCACCCCCACCAAGCACTCGAGTCTTTCTCTCCTTCCTGCGCGCTGGAAAGAGCCCCACCTCCTGGCACTCGAGTCTCTCTCTCTCTCCCTCCTTCTCGAGCCGCTCGTCACGCGGCAACGCCGAGGGGGCGAAGCGAATATGATTCCACTCGATTCGCCAAGTGGCAACGCCTCATGGCGTCGAAAACGCCAGTTCGACTTTCCTCGTCACATGGCACAGTCTGGGGAGCGAAAAAGCAAACCATGTCGCTCGACTCGGCACGTGGCAACGGCCCCGGGGTGAAACGTGACGGTGCTGTAGTACTCGCCGCGTGGCAACGCAGCAAGGCGGACATCATATACTTCTACCATGTGTTCGTAATACCATTATATGCCCAGGTGTTCGCCATATACTCTACCATGTGTTCGCCATACCATGTGTTCGCCATACTCGGCCACGTGGCAACGCAGCAAGGCGGGCCTGAAACCATACCATTCTACTCGACTCGTCACGCGGGCAACGCCTGCGGGCCAAACAAACTTCGTTGCACTACAATCGCCACGTGGCAACGCAGCGTGGCGGGGAAGGAGAGGGGGAAAACGGAGGGGGGGGAAGTCGCGCGGCAACGAATGGTGGGGCGAACCGAATATGATTGCATTGCACTCGCCACGAAGCAACGCAGTAGGGCGTCAAAAACGTCGCTTCGGCGAGTGTCGTCCATCTACTCGGCACGTGGCAACGCCCAAGAGGCAACACAAAACGATTCTATGTGAGTCGCCGCCGCCGCGTGGCAACGCAGCGCTGTGGAAAAAGCCCACTTCTATCTACTGGTCTACACAGCGGGCCGGAAAAACACACCAGACTCCACTCGTCACGCGGCAACGCCTGGGAGGCGAAACAAATATCATTCCATTACACTCGCCGAGTGGCAACGCATCGAACCATGAAAAGAAAGATTACACTCGACTCGTCGCGCGGGAACGCCCGGGATGCGAAGCAAAGATTGTTCCCCACATGTGCTCTAGCATAGGAGGTGTTCTTGTCTGGTCATAAGAATTGCGTTTTTCGCAACCCCTGCCAGCTCTGTTGATGCAAGTCCGGCTCATGTTGAAGGGGCCCTGGGACACACAAATAAATAGACACAAATAACAGGATTCCCCATTTTTCCAATTACCTAACAGCGTTTGCTGATAGGTTTCTAGTAGGCTCAAAAGAGAGCATCACGACTCCTCAGGGGGGTCTGGGCGGGTGCCGGGGAGGAGAACCGGGAATCGTTTTTCGCCAACAGTCACACACTTCGTGCTCTTCGACCTCCCAGAACTCCATTCCCGGGCCACATTCTGGAGAACCGGGAACAGAGCCGGGCTCGCTTTTCGCCAACAATTACACACTTCGTGCTCTTCGACCTCCCAGAACTCCATTCCCGGGCCACATTCTGGAGAACCGGGAACAGAGCCGGGCTCGTTTTTCGTCAACAGTCACACACTTCGTGCTCTTCGACCTCCCAGAACTCCATTCCCGGGCTACATTTTGAGTGCCCGGAGCCAACTGTAGGCCACTTCGTGCTCTTCGAGTTCCCAGAACTCCATTCCCGGGCCACATTTTGGATGCCCGGAGCCAACTGTAGGCCACTTCGTGCTCTTCGATTTCCCAGAACTCCATTCCCGGGCCACATTTTGGATGCCCGGAGCCAACTGTAGGCCACTTCGTGCTCTTCAAGTTCCCAGAACTCCATTCCTGGGCATGATTTTGAATGCCCGGAGCCAACTGTAGGCCACTTCGTGTTCTTCTAGTTCCCAGAACTCCATTCCTGGGCCACATTTTGAATGCTGAGGCAGGCTGATGCTGCGGCCGAGGCAGGCTGAGGCTGAGGCAGGCTGAGGCTGAGGCCGAGGCTGAAGGCAGACTGAGGCTGAGGCTGAAGCAGGCTGAGGCTGAGGCTGAGGCAGGCTGAGGCTGAGGCTGAAGCAGGCTGATGCTGAGGCAGGCTGAGGCTGAGGCTGAGGCTGATGCAGGCTGAGGCTGAGGCAGGCTGAGGCTGAGGCCGAGGCTGAAGGCAGACTGAGGCTGAGGCTGAAGCAGGCTGAGGCTGAGGCTGAGGCAGGCTGAGGCTGAGGCAGGCTGAGGCTGAGGCTGAGGCAGGCTGAGGCTGAGGCTGTGACTGCGACTGCCGTTGCCGCTGCGACTGTCATCGCGAATGCGACTACGACTGCCAGAACATCAGAATTCTACAACTGGATTTTCATCTGAATCTTAAGGGGAATGCTTTCAGATATGCTTCTACATATCGCTGTTAGGTTGCTTTGCCGGGATAATAGTTTCTTGGTTTTTGTCTTCCCCCCCACTTCCAATTTTTACCTAACAGCGAAGACTGATAGGTTTCTAATGGGGTCAAAAGAGAGCATCTGATGACTCCCCAGGGGGGTCTGGGCGGGAGCCGGACAGGCGAGAACCGGGCTCGTTTTAAGCAAACAGTCACACACTTCGTGCTCTTCGACCTCCCAGAACTCCATTCCCGGGCCACATTTTGAATGCCCGGAGCCAACTGTAGGCCACTTCGTGCTCTTCGACTTCCCAGAACTCCATTCCCGGGCCACATTTTGGATGCCCGGAGCCAACTGTAGGCCACTTCGTGCTCTTCGACGTTCCCAGAACTCCATTCCCGGGCCACATTTTGGATGCCCGGAGCCAACTGTAGGCCACTTCGTGCTCTTCGAGTTCCCAGAACTCCATTCCCGGGCCACATTTTGAATGCCCGGAGCCAACTGTAGGCCACTTCGTGGTCTTCGAGTTCCCAGAACTCCATTCCTGGGCATGATTTTGAATGCCCGGAGCCAACTGTAGGCCACTTCGTGTTCTTCGAGTTCCCAGAACTCCATTCCCGGGCCACATTTTGAATGCTGAGGCAGGCTGATGCTGCGGCCGAGGCAGGCTGAGGCTGAGGCAGGCTGAGGCTGAGGCCGAGGCTGAAGGCAGACTGAGGCTGAGGCTGAAGCAGACTGAGGCTGAGGCTGAGGCAGGCTGAGGCTGAGGCAGGCTGATGCTGAGGCAGGCTGAGGCTGAGGCTGAGGCTGATGCAGGCTGAGGCTGAGGCTGAGGCTGAGGCCGAGGCTGAAGGCAGACTGAGGCTGAGGCTGAAGCAGGCTGAGGCTGAGGCTGAGGCAGGCTGAGGCTGAGGCTGAGGCAGGCTGCTGAGGCTGAGGCTGAGGCTGAGGCTGAGGCTGAGGCTGATGAGGCTGAGGCTGAGGCTGCAGGCTGAGGCTGAGGCAGGCAGGCTGAGGCTGAGGCCGAGGCTGCAGACTGAGGCAGCAGGCTGAGGCTGAGGCTGAGGCTGGCTGATGCTGAGGCTGAGGCTGAGGCTGAGGCTGAGGCTGAGGCTGAGGCAGGCTGAGGCTGAGGCCGAGGCTGAAGGCTGAGGCGAGGCTGAAGCAGGCTGAGGCAGGCTGAGGCTGAGGCTGAGGCTGGCTGAGGCTAAGGCTGAGGCAGGCTGCAGGCTGAGGCTGAGGCCGAGGCTGAAGGCAGACTGAGGCTGAGGCTGAAGCAGGCTGAGGCTGAGGCTGAGGCAGGCTGAGGCTGAGGCTGAGGCAGGCTGGCTGAGGCAGGCTGAGGCTGAGGCTGAGGCTGATGCAGGCTGAGGCTGAGGCAGGCTGAGGCTGAGGCCGAGGCTGAAGGCAGACTGAGGCTGAGGCTGAAGCAGGCTGAGGCTGAGGCTGAGGCAGGCTGAGGCTGAGGCTGAGGCAGGCTGATGCTGAGGCAGGCTGAGGCTGAGGCTGAGGCTGATGCAGGCTGAGGCTGAGGAGGCTGAGGCAGGCTGAGGCTGAGGACGAGGCTGAAGGCAGACTGAGGCTGAGGCTGAAGGCAGGCTGAGGCTGAGGCTGAGGCTGAGGCTGAGGCTGAGGCAGGCTGATGCTGAGGCAGGCTGAGGCTGAGGCTGAGGCTGATGCAGGCTGAGGCTGAGGCAGGCTGAGGCTGAGGCCGAGGCTGAAGGCAGACTGAGGCTGAGGCTGAAGCAGCTGAGGCTGAGGCTGAGGCAGAGAGGCTGAGGCTGAGGCAGGCTGATGCTGAGGCTGAGGCTGAGGCTGAGGCTGAGGCTGAGGCTGCAGGCTGAGGCTGAGGCTGAGGCTGAGGCAGGCTGAGGCTGAGGCCGAGGCTGAAGGCAGACTGAGGCTGAGGCTGAAGCAGGCTGAGGCTGAGGCTGAGGCAGGCTGAGGCTGAGGCTGAGGCAGGCTGATGCTGAGGCAGGCTGAGGCTGAGGCTGAGGCTGATGCAGGCTGAGGCTGAGGCAGGCTGAGGCTGAGGCCGAGGCTGAAGGCAGACTGATGCTGAGGCTGAAGCAGGCTGAGGCTGAGGCTGAGGCAGGCTGAGGCTGAGGCAGGCTGAGGCTGAGGCTGAGGCAGGCTGAGGCTGAGGCTGTGACTGCGACTGCCGTTGCCACTGCGACTGTCATCGCGAATGCGACTACGACTGCGAGAACAGCAGAATTCTACAACTGGATTCTGATCCGAATCTTAAGGGGAATGCTTCCAGATATGCTCCTACACATCGCTGGTAGGTTGCTTTGCCGGGATAATTTCCCATATTTTCTGGGGAATCCACGATTCATTGTGTCTGTGTGTTTTTGTTCCCTCCTGACATGTCGTCGTCGCTGTTCACGTGGTTGGAGGCGCCCTGCCCCTCGAGACGCGGCGACTCTCCCAGGGGCGGCGCCCCTCCCGGTGGGCCAGAGGCCTCTGCCAGCTCCGTGGGCCGGCTGTGGGCCAGGCGCCGCGGCCCTCGCGAGGCGGTGGCCCTCGCGGGGATGCTGCTCCTCGCTGGCGGGCGGGAGGGCTCCGCTTCCCCGGTGGGCCGCTTGAGGGGCCAGGCGCCACGGGCCCTCCCCGGTGGGCTGGAGGCCTCCGCCGGCTCTGCGGGCCAGCCGTGGGCCGGGCGCCCTGGCCCTCGAGGAGCGGCGGCCCTCACAAGGGTGGCGCTCTCCCCGATGGGCTGGAGGCAGCTGCCAGCTCTGTGGGCCAGTTGCGGGCCGGGCGCCCTGGCCTTCGAAGAGTTCCCCAAGTGGCGCTTTGCCACAAGAAGTTCTCGCCCGGTCCTGAGGATTGTATTGCCGTTTGAAACCCGCCCGCTTAGCTAATGTGGCTGTTTTCATAGTTGGAGTCGACGTTGGGTAAGTCCGTTACACTCGCCACGTGGCAAAGAAGTATCGCGGGGGGAAAAACACCTACTCGACTTTACTCGTCACGTGGCGAAGCCTGGGGAGCTTAAGAAGGGCCATGCCGCTCTACTCGGCACGTAGCAATGCCAGAAAGGCGAAGCAAGACAACTTGATTGTAACCGCCACGTGGCAATACATCGCGGCAGATAACATACAATTCTATCATACTTGCTAAGTGGCAACGCAGCAAACCAAAAACATCTAATTTCACTCCACTTGTCACGCGGGAACGCCTGGGAGGCAAATCACATAGTGCTCTGTCAAACTCGCCATATGGCAACGCGCCCGGCAAAACGACTCGTCACGCGGCAACGCTCTAGGGAGGCGAACCGAATATCATTATATCGTACTCGCCAAGCGGGGCATCCAAAACGCCGCTTCGACTGTTGAAGTCATCTACTCGGCACGTGGCAACACCCAAAGAGGCGAACCATTACGATTCGATTCGATTCGCCACATGGCAGCGCAACGGGGCGAAAAACATCCAAGTCTACTGTACTCGCCACGTGGCAACGCAGCAGGCGAGAAAAATACCTTTCCACTCGAACCGGCACGCGCCAACGCCTGGAGGGCGAAAGAGTTATTATCTACTATACTCGCCACGTTGCCACGAGCGTCGCGGAAAAAACGCCTATTCGACTTTACTCGTCACGTGCCGACACCTGGGACGCGGAAGACCATGCCACTCGACTCGGCACCCGGCACCGCCCGAGGGGCGAAACGAGACGATCCTACTCCAGTCGCCACGTGGACACTCGCCACGTGGCAGCGCAGCGTGGCGGGGAAAAGAACGCCTATCCTGGCTTGCTCGCCGCGTGGCAGCGCAGCGAAGCGAAACAACAACAATGCCAATCTACTCGGCACGTGGTACCGCCCGAGGGGCGACACTAGACGATTCTATCATACTCGCCACGTCGCATCGCAGCGCGGCGGAAGACGTACAAGTCCACCGCGTGCATGGGGGTGGGGGCCGACCCCCGCCCCCGTTGCGTCGTTTTCGTCAGGCATCGCTCTGTCTCTATCAGACCTTTCGACGTCAAGGTCTGCGACGCACTCGTGAAGCCAGAGACCAGGGCGTCATTGGTACCAACCGCGACTTCGACATCGAAGATGACTCCAGCGTAACCCGCTGCGATGATAGTGTCGCCACTGCTCGCTGCACTCGACAACACGTCTGGCGTTATGACCCCATGAGGCGCACCATTGCCCCCGATCGAAAGCCACTTCGCAGGCTGCAGCGTGCCGACCTCCTTCGTGCATTCTGAGATAGCCGTGTCCACATCCTCGTAACCATTGAAACAGATGCCCATGTTCGTATCTTCTGGCCCGACGAACGCCTGGCTCCACGACCACGCCCAGTAGCCTGCCACGCCGCCGTTGGCAATGCCGTTGGCAGAACTGCTGTCGGTGCTGTTGCCAGTGCCAGCCTCTGTAACATTGGAACCCTCCGTGGTGTTAACGTCGACGCCCGTGCAATAGTCGGGATCCACAAAAGGGGGGGACCCTGAGGAGGGGCATGAATTCGATCCGTTGGTGCACCGAACTGCCGCAAACAGATGCCCCCCGCATGCGTCACCTATCCACAGCTATCGGGAGCTGCCGGCGGCTGGGGGACATCTGTTTTGGGCGGTTCGGTGCAAAAAACCATCGAACTCTCACACACACACACACACACACACACACACACACACACACACACACGCACATACACCGGGGCACACACACCCTTTGCGGGATCCCGAAATAGACCCTGGTGGGGTTACTGAGGCATGTGCACAATTCGGGGCACACGAGATCTGGAGGCCCTGCGTGGACAAGCCGGCCGTGCGGGCGCCACGGAGACAGCAGCAGCACGAGCGCAACAACGGCGGCCAAGCCCGCGGCCGTTAGGACCCCGCCGAGGACCTTCCACCGCGCGGTCGAAGCAGCCCCCCCCGCCTCTCCAGCTCCTGTGAGCGGTTCCTTCTGCGGAGGGAACAAAAAAACGATCACCGTGACCAAGACTGAATTCGGAAGCGTCGGTGTCGATCTTGGTCACCGTCCATCTTGGCCCTTCCTCAGTTCGTGGACCATCTTCGCAAATCAACCACGGCCGGCATGGACTATGATCAGGACCGGCGTCGACAAGATGCCACGACGTTTTGGTCGTGGTCATCGTGTTTCTTCCCTCGGTGCTGTGCAATCTCGGCATCAGCCATCAGCGGCGACAGTCGAAGCAATTGCTGCTTCGCCTTCGCCGGAAACGTGAGCCAAAGCTTGAACCAGCCTCGCTAAGAAGATACTCCGGGAAATTCTGGAGCAGACGACGTCCAGCGTAAGCTTCGCCGATGACATAAAAATAAATACAAAAACACGCACACACAAACCAAAAAAAAATGCGGCCATGAGATGGCGGTCGTGACCCTTTTTCCCTCTCTATTTTCTCCCTCCCGTCCCCCCTCCCTTCGCCCGACGTCACCCCCCAATACCCCTTTTCCTGCCCAGTCGCCCCCACTGAGTTCGCGGGCGCCAGGAGAGAAACAAAAAAAAAAAAAAAAAAAACACGGGAGTGCAGATGAGCGGGCGCGGAACCCAAACTTCTCGCCCTTCAGGTTTAAGAGGTGACAGAGGGGTGCGGTGTAAATAAGTATGGCAAGAACACGCGGCATCACTACGTAATCAAAACCTGCTCCACCTTATCGCAAAGATGCCTGCAACGTTCAGAATTAGCGTCTTTCGTTAGCGACACCTGACACGCATAGCCCGACTCGGTTGCAGTCGAAAGGCGCGGAACGCGCGACCAGTTCGCGATCAAGATCCGATCAACCAGGTTACCGCAAGCTCACTCCAATATCAGCTTAAAAACTCGAAAAAAATTATCTCGATGTTACACGAAATCGGTTCCGCCAAGATTCGTGATAGTGATATTAAAGCTACGGACCTGCAACTTCAACAGGCCGACGCGCCATAATCTACTACAGGTGAAAAGAATACTGGAGCTGTGTACATTGCTTCCAGCTTGAGTGGAGTGCACAAGACCGACACCATCTTGAAAAATGCATTCCGACGGCCGACGGTTCCTCTACGTTTTTTGGCATTAATATTGCAGCTACGGACCTGAGGATTTCACAGACAGACGCGGCACAACCCACTCCACATTACAAAAATAGGGGTTCCCAAAACAAATGTTCAAATCTTTCACGATCTTCGACACCAGGTCGTCACATTGTCGGCCCAGGCCGGGTGGGCCAAGTAGCTCCACCCCGCGCCGGAATTCCTCTGACTCATCCATGCCGAAGAGCTCTACGAGGTGCTGGGAGCCGGCGGTCAACCGTCAACCAGGTTACCGCCGGGATCCTTGTAGAGCTCTTGAATCGCGGAGAAGTACCAGAATTCGACCAGAAGTTCACCCCAATATCAGCGATATTACCTCGGTGTTATACGAAGTCGGTTCCGCCAAGAATTTTGATTGTAAGACTAAAGCTACGGACCTGCAAATTCAACAGGCCGACGCGCCATAATCTACTACAGGTGGAAAGAATACTGGAGCTGTGTACCTTGCTTCCAGCTTCAGTGGAGTGCACAAGACCATCATCATCTTGAAAAATGCATTCCGACGGCCGACGGTTCCTCCACGTTTTTGGCAGTAATATTGAAGCTACGGACCTGAGGATTTCACAGGCAGACGAGGCACAACCCACTCCACGTTACAAAAATAGGGGCTCCCAAAACGAATGCTCAAATCTTTCACGATTTTCGACCACAGGTCGTCACATTGTCCGCCCAGGCCGTACTGACATATTGATTCACGCACACATGTACTCCACTCTTTGTTAAATAGTAACCCACACTTACCGTCACAACTCACACGATATGATAGGCCACACCGTCTGATATATGCATCGAATATGCCTCCGAAAAGATTCTGGCATTCCTGAACGCCCCAGATGCTATCCCGCATTGAGAGGCTCCTCAGGATCTCATTCCCCTTGAAATTGGCCGACCCCGCCCGATTGAGGTTCCAGCTGCCCAGTCGGACCCCTTTGAACGGTGTACGGCGTCGTCGTCGTCACATCCTCCTGTTGACTTCCGTCTCGATATCAGCCTTCGTCTTAGTAAACGCAGGTATGAGTTGATTCAATCTGTCGACACTCTCACTCGATACCTCCCATGTCGCCCGTGTCGTGGTAAACTCGGCCAATAGCATAGGCCTCGGATCAGCAGTCGTGGGCACAGTCCATATAGTAGATTTGGGCGGTCCCATTTCACCTCGCACAGCGATGACCTCTATGCCAATCTGTGTACACATGCTCCGAAATAGTGCCGCAGAATCGCCCAACAGCCTTAACGTGGTCCCTCTTCCACTCAGGGCACTCGACATTGACTTTGATCGACTCAGGATTGATTTGCTGCTTCATATTCTCGATGAGGCACTGTGGTGCTGCAATCTGGATTCCTGGAGGATGCGTGGGACGCTTGGCAGGGGTACCGTCACAAGGTCGATGCACCGTTTAGCCCTCCATACAACATCCCTGTCCGTCCCTGGCTTGAATTTTATTCTGGCAGATCCGAACATGCAACGACCAGCATTGATGCGCTCAGTACCGTCAACACACACGTGCACACGAACATCCTCCGAAAGACAATAATTCGTAATATTATCGGTGAGCACTGTCACATCCTCCCACATGAGCATCTCCTGAGACCTCCGACCCCTGTCATTCCAGTTGGTGACCCATCCCGTGAGTTCGACATACGTGGAGAGAAGTAGGTGCTCCCAGGAGCCTGGTATCTGCCCGTCCTGGTATTATCAGGCCTCGTCGAAGCGTCACTGGCAACAGAACCTGCTCGAACCTGTCCCTGGAGCCCCTGGACGATCGTCTCAAGTTGGTTTTGTTTAGTCTCCAGGTTAGAAATCGCAACACCCTGCTTCTGGACCTGGGCCTGAACGTCGTCGGTTTTTGTTCTCTGAACTCCTATGGCATCCTGGATCCTTTCAGTGCTATCATCCATATTGTGCATCATCTGCAACAGTAAACTCTGCATATCATCCTTCCCCTCCAAGGCAGCCTTCCTCCCAGCAAGCACCTCCTCACGATTACGCTTCACAGGAGGGGCGCCCCCATCCACCGCCATGTTGTCGGCATGTTCTGGCACTGTTTCAATACACTGCGGGCCGTACCCCCAAGAGCGCAGCCACTGTCGAGTCACCGTCCGTTCACAGAGAGGTACAACAGATTCACTATCTGGCGTGGAGTCGGCAGTATTCAATCTTCCGTCCAATTGACAGTCACCTGGTGTTTTCTCAATATGCTGAAGCTGTCTTTTACGAGACGCCCTTTCGATAGCAGTATCTGGCTTCTGACCGTAATCCTGTGAGTACTGCAGGTATGGTACTGTCGGTGATATATCCTCCAGCTGAAATCTTCTCGCAAGAACCGAAAAGTCGTATCCGTCCGTCTTCTCACACGAACAATAAAAGACAACAAGCACAGCAAACAAAGCAAGCATAATCACCGACAGCCTATTCCCCGCGCCGCGCCCTGCGCGGCCCCTGGCAACTTTCGCGCGCCGCGCATCGCACGCGCCCCGCCGCGGCGCGAAGCGCACGCGGGCGGCCCGCTCCTCCGCGCGCGCGCGCGCGCTCCACCTGCGAACACGGCGCGCGACGGCCCCATCCTCCCACCCATTCCCCCAACCCATACCCCGTCCCCCGACCCCAGAAAGTGCAACGGTGCTCCGGGGGTGCAGAACGACCTTGGGGTGACCAAACCCCCCGAATGGAACACCTGCGTGAAGAAGGCAAGACCCTGGCGTGGCTCGCCAGTAATGCCGCTCTCCCCACGGGGAAAGCGAACACTGCCGGCGTCCGGCGCCGCCCTCGCCGACCCGAGCACCCCACCGGGGGTCGGGATACGGCGGGCGTGTTCGCGCGCGCAAAACATGTCGCGCACCTGTCAGACGTTACACCTGGTGATGCGACCGCTGCCAGCGGCCACCAGGGAAGGAAGGCCCCCTCCCCGCACGCGCTGACCTGCGCGGCGTTCTCGCACCTGCGACGCACACGTTCGGCCGACCCGAGGCAGGACCCCTCGCAGCCGGTGCGCATCGCCTCTTGCACGGCGAAGTCCACGCCGGCGCCCATCCCAAATTCTCCCCGGTAACCCCACCGGGGCCCAGGGTGTGGTGGGTGGGAAACAAACCAACAGCAACCGCTGTCGCCAACGCGCTTTGCTCGCACGATCCAATTGCGCGCTCTGATGCGCGCAGTCCCTGCGAGCGCGCGCGGGCGGTCGTCCCCTTCTGTCATGATTATGGTTCCCTGACCCGAGCCTCCCCGAGCCTAAAGTCAACGCATAATCACCGACAGCCTATTCCCCGCGCCGCGCCCTGCGCGGCCCCTGGCAACTTTCGCGCGCCGCGCATCGCACGCGCCCCGCCGCGGCGCGAAGCGCACGCGGGCGGCCCGCTCCTCGCGCGCGCGCGCGCTCCACCTGCGAACACGGCGCGCGACGGCCCCATCCTCCCACCCATTCCCCCAACCCATACCCCGTCCCCCGACCCCAGAAAGTGTAACGGTGCTCCGGGGGTGCAGAACGACCTTGGGGTGACCAAACCCCCCGAATGGAACACCTGCGTGAAGAAGGCAAGACCCTGGCGTGGCTCGCCAGTAATGCCGCTCTCCCCAACGCTGCTCTGGCTCCGCGTTTCTGCACCCCCAACGCTGTTCTGGGTCCGACGCCGCTCCGCAATCGCGCGTCGATGTACACGGCGCCCCGTGTCTGAGGCATGCCCGTGCCCCGCGGCTGGGCCCGCGCTCACCTCTCCTGCGCGGACTCCTTCTTTACGGCGAATCCACTGAGCCTGGCGCGGCACGCTGCACGCCGCGGCCCACCCCCCGCGAATTGCCCTCGCGGAACGCGCCTTCCGCGCGCCGTAGCACCCAACGCCACGCGTCTAGTAAGCACCCGCGCCACGCGGCCGGGTCCACTCTCACCTCGCCGGTACGAAAACCATTCTCCCGGGCGAAGCTATCCTCGCCGAGCCGCCTGGCACCGCGCGAGTGGCCGACTCGGGGGAAGGCCGCCCCCGCGCGCGTACGGCGCGCCGTGAGATCCCGTCCGACCAGTTGCTTTTCGAGTCTACCCACTCGAGCCAGGTGGACATGTCGCAGTGAAACTGGCGCGACACGCTGCACGGCGCGTCCCCCCGCGATTTGCCCTCGCGGCGCGCGCCTTGAAGAAATTCATAAGCTTGACGCTCCGGTCCAGGGTAGCATGGTCGCACCTGCCACTCACGAA